CCTCCTCACACTTCTCTGCCTTCATCTGTTATACAGACAGCTTAGATGTCCTCTACGACTGTGTTACAGGCTACGGTGCAGTGTATCCCATTGCGCCTCAGTAGGTCTGACCTCAGTTTAAGTGTTGTTCCTTGAATGCTGTAGTATTCGGAAGCATCTCTGTCAACACCACTGCTTGGGTAAATATTGTAGCTTGTTTCTTTAGTGAAATGAATGTTCTCCAAATGGGAGTGACAGTTATGCTCCAATAATGACCCCCCTCTGCACTGTCAGTCTTTGAGAGGAGGAGGAGCATCTGCTGTCTGAGCTAAGGAAACTGTCGGAAACCAATAGCTGATGATTAAATTATGTACTAAGAATAGGAGATAGGCTTCATCTCTTTGCCATTCTTCCCTCAGCTGTCAGAAGATGAAAATACTCTGACACTACCAAAATGTGTGTATTCTTCTTCTGTATCCACCCTCCACATCTAAATCTGTCATCTACAGTAATTTCACCCTTGTCTGTTTATGAGCCAGACTCTGTCTCTCCTTCTCTTTCATTAACACTATCATCTCGAGGTTTTTTTTTATATATACCTTAGAGTTAGTTATCTAGTGACACAACAGATTTCAGTAATAAGGCAAAGGTTCCTCTAAGACTCCTACTACCCCCGATACAGTGGAGCGGTGTTATCTATGTGATTATCTGCACAGTTGTATCACACTATTGTGTGAAGTAACGATAAGCACAATAATGTTTGGCCAGTAACAGGCAGAAGAAATACATAACAGTTTGACAGACACACAGCCTCACAGTTAGTCAGGTTAGCATGCTGGTGAATAGCCTGCTTACACATCCAGCTGTCATTAGGTTACATTAGCATTCATCTTAAGTCATGTTTCTCTCCACATAATAAATGTAAGTCAATATTCACTCTCCTTTTAGCTCTGTTTTGGTATCCACTATCTCCAAGAAAAATGTGTGACTCTTTAGCTGCTTCATGCTCCACCATTGGCCAGATAGTCTTTAAATGTCTGACTACTGTGTGGAGATGTGTAGTGTTGATCTATCAGAGCTTTTGCACTGAGATTAAGGCTTATGGGAGAAATGACACTGTGGTTTTTTTTTTGTTTTCTCCTCAGTATGTGATAAAACAATACAGTGAGCTATAAAATAGTCTTGCACTATTGTTCTTTTGAAGGCTCTAGATAATTATAGCTGTGGATCTGGAGTATTTTCCTTTAAACACCTTTATTTCACTTAACCCTGCCTGAATGAGTAATATGTTTCTTCTTCAGCTGATGAGCTCCCTGTGTTTTTTTTTAATCTTTTCAATCAGTCATTACAGTTTCTCATGCTTCTCCTACATGAACTGTTTTAAGCCAAACGAATCACTGTTTCTGCTTTCGTTAATGTAGAGTACTTTGTTTTGAAAGGGCATAAGAGTAATGTCCATGAAAAGATTTCTTAAATTGAATAAGGTTTCTGTTTACATTCTTGTTCCTGGTCCCTGGCACCTCCTTCCAATAACATCAAACGTGAACGATGGCAGGCTGTGATTTGTTGGGTGCCATTTTGTGATGCGTCATATTCCTCATCTGAGTCACAGCTAGAATTTCTGACAATAATTGTGTAATTTGACACAAATCAGACATCATGTGTAGTCTGGACCTGGCAAGAGGTAATTTTTTTTTCTTGTTCAATTGGGGCTACTCAGTGCAGAAAAGGAAGGCGGATGGTACAGAACATTTGAGGGTAGGCCTGAGCTTTCTGCTGCTTGTTAGCCAGGCTGACGCCTGCAGTTCTGTAGTTAACAGTAGAAAACCCCTTGTATTTAAATTTCAGCACAGGGCTGCACAATTTTGCTTAAGGTTGAGATGGCACTGCATGACTGAACAGGTATAGCTCCTCTTTAATGATGAGAGTGATACAGGGTTGTTCTGTTTATATATTGATTGATATTTATTTGAAAGAGGCACTAAAATAGGTTATTTCATACCATGTCAAACATCTTTAAACAAAAATGCCCTCTTACAACCTGTCTATAGGTACTGAGGCTACTGTGTGTCCTCAGTAATTTATTTTTAACATTCGAGGGTTTACATTCTGCAATTAAAAACGTACTCCTCATGAGTTAGGCTATGGGCTGATTCCGGTGTTTCTAAACTCACTATATCTCAAATAAATTGCACAACCTTTGGTTCAAAAGTAAAAAGGAAATATTGATTTCATGAACCTTTCCTCTTTGTTAGCATTAACATGAATCCATCCAAGTTATCTGACTTATGGACATCATTAGCATATCTTCCTCCATTAACCCAGCTACTATAAGCTAAAGCCACCTACCTAACATTAATTGCCTTAGCTGTCAGCACTTAGGAGAAATTCAGACAATCTAATAAACGTGTATATGTGCACCCTCCGGCGGCACAATGTGTGCTTTCACACTATAGGCTGTCAGTCACAAGCATCACTGAATGCACAGCCACTAGTGGCATCCCTGTCTTCGATTTGTTGTCATTTAGGCATTTAAACTCTTCTGTACAGGAGGTCAGTTTAGACTCATGAATCAATTCAGTTTGACTGAACTGAAGAATCTGAAACCCAGACCTCACACTTTCCAGGATCATCTGCATAAAAAAGCAATAACTTTGTCTGAACAGATTAGTCAGTTGTGATGATTACATTGTTCCTAAATTAAAGTCATACAGTGTCCTCAGCCTAATGAGCAAACATTAGAGAAACTGCATCCTGTAGTTTGTTTTTTCAGTGCAAAATAGACGACAACAAAATCTGACACTGCCCCTTGTACCTTGGATTGAGAGGTAAAATAGCACTAGAATTGTAGGCTGGTTATAGTAATACAGGCTTTACAATCATTGCAGACTCATAGTAAGGCCGATTTATTTCTTTTTATCCTGCTTTGTGTCAGAGGCATGCAATTCTCAGTGATTATGTTAACTTGCACACCTGTTACAAGTATTTTCCTGACTGTATCACAGGATATCATTTTGGTCATTATCATGGTTTTCTTATGCTCAGATCCTGTTTGTTTTTAGTGTATGTCCAAATAGACAGTTTCTGTAGCATATTCAAAATGTGTGAAACCAGTTATTATAGCCTTCTCAGTAGCTACACAGTGTTCTCGTTCTCTGATGGACAACACCAAATGTCCATTCAATAAAACTAATGTGAATGTATCTTCAGTTGGAGTATGCATGTTTCAGCTGCAGAAAGATTCCCTCAAGCTGTTGACTGAAACTGACATTTATCAAGAAAAGCAGTAATGTATCCACACTTCTGTTATTGGTTTTATGAGTTCTTCACAAAGGACTGGGCATCCCCACTGTTAAACAGAGAAATGAGTTGCAGTACCATGTTTACTTTCTAGTATAAAAGAGAGAACGGTCATCAGACTTTAGAAGTCAGGGTATGGAAATTTGAAAGTTTTACTTAATTCATCATTCTTCTACAGAATAATTGTTTCATTTGTTGCACTCCTGTCTCTTTATCTTGATCTGATCTGACTCTCTAAGCAGCCAGTCCTCTTGATAAAAATAGCTCCAATTTGCTTTAATAACTCTCGCACTTATGTTTTTTGTTTTTGTTTTGTTTTTGCTTATCCTGTTCAAACTTAAGCTGAAGTGTTTTGTGCTGTATAGGTCACATATATTTGATGTGCACATGGGTGAAGTGACTCCCTGACAGCAACACTTGAGCACAATGTCCCACTTTTCCCTCCGCAGCAGCTGCATGAAGAGCGACTGTTTGGACAGTAATCCTTGTCACTTCTGCCCTGTCCCGTCTGTCTACCTATCTGTCCACTCTGTCCCTCCAGATCAACAACAAGGCCAATGTGGTCACCAGCCCCAAAGAGCCTGTCCCCACTCCTTCTCTGGTACATTGCCTGCTTTGCTGCTGCTGGTGTTTGCATGCCTCTCACTCTGTCTAACCATCTTTCCATTCTCTCGGCGATATCTGTCATGGTTATACAGCTCTGTTGAACTCCACAGTTTTGTCACTTTATCCTTGATTTTGTATTTCCATAAAGCTTAAGAGTCACAAATGTCTTTGTTGTGTAACATGAGCTGTCCACACGCACTTCTAGATTGCTCGATTGCTTTACTGCATTGCCACATCACTGTACATGGGCTACATTCTCCTTTGTTGTTGATGATGGCTGTAATGGCAACACTGGAGCCATTGCATGTCAGCTGTGGCTAATACCCTGTTGCCACAGGTCAGTCCTTTGTTCTCCACCAAACTGGAGACAACGCTAGTTTGTTATTGGTGTAGAACTTGCAGAGCCACTTGTTTTGAAAGTATGTTGTACTACTTTAAATAAGTATTGGAAGCATATTAATAACCCCAATGTCTTAGAAATAGGAGGTGAATCAATTTAGATTTTTAAAAAGCGTAATATGTTGCTTCTACTTGAAGTTGGCACAGTACGCAACTGAATTTTAAACTTGACGAGAAGATTTCTCTCCTCCTCAAAAGTACGATATGCCAGTTCTCACTAGTGTTAGCATGAGACTTGAGCAAACCACATAACAGGAAGATTGAAGCAATTTTCTTTTTGTGCATTTAATACAGGGCTGTAGCTGGGGGTTAGCTTACCATTAATCAGTGAAACTGCTGGCATGGCTGTGTTCAAAGTTGAAAATATACTTACGAAACATTTTAACTGTTTGTCAAGATGAAGGAAAGCAGATACATTGTGTCAGTCAGTTTGAGGTGCTAGTTGTGTACTTTTGAACTTTGGGGAACCAGGTAAATTTTTTTTTCTCCTATTTCAGATCTTTATGCTAAGCTAGGATAGTCATATCCCAGATCAGCTTTATACTTAAAACAAAGACGTGAGATTGTAATTGATTTTCTCCTGTCATTGTTGAAGGTTTTAGGTTTGTACCATTGATGCAACCTTGGAAATTGGCAAATCAGTACCATACAACACAATGAACATTGTTTATACAGGACATTTCAAGACATTTCCTTCTGGCACCCTGGCTCACTGCCACATACACCCAGTATCAATGCAGATATACAGCACAAAGCTGGGAGCTGATCTATGGACTGTGTGCTTATGTCAGAAAACATGGCCGTCACTGTCACAGAGTTGCACCTGCTCATAGCCCAGCCTCACCCTTCAGGGGTTTAGTCAAAGTGGCATCAGATTAGACATGTCAGCTGAGGCGCAGTAATACAGCACCAGTGTACCACAGACTGTTTTGCAATAGCGTGTATTATATATGTGAGTGAGAAATCCATCCTGACAGTGTACGTCTTTTACCCTTGGGGTTTCATTAATCTCTGTACAGTAATGCAGGTATATGCTTGATGTATCTGTAAAGTTGTGTGTAATTTTGTTACATACTCATGTAAACGTTTCCTGGGTGTTTTAGCTGTAGACAACATGTTTCTATTCTGTGGGTGTTTGCCAGAAATGCTAGATATGAAGTTATAAGCAGATCCCTTACCATGGTTTCTGTGTTTAATGTTAACTGTTGTCATCAGTGTTGGGTAAAACTTGATCAGGTGTGGTGATAGACTTGATAAAGTTTACATGATGTGCAGGGAACTGCCACAACTTCCATCATTGCCATTAACATCGCATCTATCTCTAATAGTGCTGCAGTATGCTATAGTGTTTGTGTTTACTAGTACTTGCTTTCCTCAGAATAGCAAATATGTTAATTTCCCACTTCATCATTTTTCATTTTTCTTTTTTGTTTTTATACTTTTCCTGCAAACGTTCTTCCTAACTCACTTTCACTTTGCACCAACCTTTCTTCCTACTGTTCGTCCTCTAACACCAGGAGCCTCAAACCACTGTTATCCACAACCCAGCCGATGGAAACAAGGTATACAGCTGATCGGAGGCTAGTCTGTGAATATAGTTTGCTGCTGACATGTGCGACATTTAGAGCAGAGCCTTAACGTTGCTTCTAATGATGTTTGTGTGCCAATGGATGTTGTTGACTCGTGACAAAACAAAGGACTATGGATTTTTAAAAAATAATGCATGCTGTTATCAGCTGTAGCATGTTGTCCCTTAACTTAATGCTGGTTATCTTTGTGCGCAGTTTTGTGTGTTACTTACTGTTGTGGATATTTTTTTGTGACTATTCATATGAGATCATCAGTTATCTCTAAACATAACAAGTTTGTATCAGCAGAATATTATGTCAGGGTGATTTGTCTGTGCAAATCTATGGATTTACATTTTCATGTATAATCCATAAGGTCTGGGAATATACATATGTGCATGCTTGGAGTTTTTGCATTGTGTGGTAACGCCATGGTGTTGTAGTTCAAAGTGTAGCATAATGTGTTCTTGTGCATAGTAAGTGCTGTCGAATCATACATGAAAAGACTGAAGCTGTTTGCTTCATTCATTTGTACCAGTGCAGTATTCTGCTCTTTTATGTGTTTCTTCAATTGGATCCTTGTTCACTCACAGACAATGAGGATCATTGCGCAAGTAATCTGCAATGCTGCATAAGATTTCTTATTCAAAGGAATGAAAATGAACAATGTGTGAATGGTGCTTTTTGAATCGAGTACAATATGCATTTGATGGAAACTGTCATTAATTCTGTTGGTAAAAATAACACTAATTTGTGCTTCCCCAGAGACATGCAACACTGTAGAAAGAAAGCTCCCATTAAACATTTTTAACGATTACATTTAGTAAAAGTACAGCATTTTGTTCAAATTATCTCTTCATAAGGTATGTCTGTGCCAAAAATTACCATGCCGTTTTTAGAAACAGTAGCTTGAGTTTTACATATGGAGTTAATAACATTGTATTCAGTAAGTTATTTGCACATAATGTATGTGGGAACATGGCAGCATTTCCAAAAAGAAGTCAAGATAGTTTATAAAATATGAGCAATTGATCAGATAGGTGGTAAACCAACCAACAGATCAGAGCAAATCAAGGTGAACAATACAATTATTAGCTATTGTAAACATCCATTATAGTTTAGAGACCTACGTACAGGCCCAACAGACTGTATTTAATGTCGTCGTTTTCATTTTGTTGTATCGAAAGTCTAATCTCAAGTGAGGTGCTTTAATAGCTAAAATGACCTGCTGTGAACAAATGCTGAGCATACTGATCTCAGTGGCGCCTGAATGTCTGTCCTCAGCAGGTTTGTGCTTTAATGCTGCACTGGGTATACTGACAGGCCTTTTATTTGTCGTTTCGCAGGAGTCCAGTGAGAGTGCCAACACTACTATCGAGGATGAGGACGTGAGAGGTAGGGAGGTCCAGACTAATGAATACAAATGACCTTTCTGTTATCAGATGACTCCCAGATGCCTCATTAAAACTTTCTTCTAAACTTTGAAACAAATGGTTCCTTTGAATTTTTACATCACAGTTCAAGAACACCTTTTTTCTGCATTATTATTAGTAGTGGGTTTGTGCTAATCTTGTTCCATGTATTGTCTACTGCACAAATGTGGTGTAAAGGTGTATTATTGCCTTTCAGTTTCACCTTCTCGTGGTCTGTAGTGCTTCTTTTTGCATGTTACACCTGTCCCAGTACCGGGTACTTGAACCGTGGCCCTGTTGACCTACTGGGCACCTCAGGGTGAAAAATTGCTTTGGGCCCCTGTGGACTCCCTATTTGTGTTTATTTGTCTGAGTACAGATTTATTTCAGCCAGAGAGCTCACATGAAAAGGACAATTATTTGAATGTACAGTACGGACAGCACTGATACTGTGTCTAGACTGTGACCTTGCCCCACCTGCTGTGTCCTAGCCTTAACTTGGTTTTTGAATGTAAATCCAATAACCAGTTCTTTAAGTGTTTGGACACTTAAGTAGAACCAGTCACATTCAAAGCACAAAGGATTCCTGCAATTGACTGTAACCTCAAAATGAAAGTAGTCCCTTCAGAATACAGTACCTGATACCCTGCAGTTAGAAGACTTTAGTAAAAGAAAAGGACAAGGAGGAAGGACCTTGGTGCTTCAGTGAAGTGAATATTTTTAAACATTTGTTCTATATTGTTGAGAAAGTGAAATTGATTTGTGCTCGTACAGTATGTCTGTGTCTTGTCTGTGTTTTTTGTGAAAGCACAGTGACCTTTGATAGAACAAACAGCCTGTCAGACAGATGAGATTTGAATCAGCACAGATTTCTAACATTGTTCCTGAGACTCCTGGCATTCATATGCTCCCCTACATATGCTGGTATTGTGTGTACAATGCTAGCATATGTGCTTCCATGCTTTCAGTACATACACAGGAACATGCCACTGGCCTGGATGTTGTTACATAAAAGCCAGTGGCTTCTCTTTACATTGGCTAATGGATCACCATTCCTCAATGCTCCAGTAACCTCATTCAGCCTTATTCATCATTCTAATACACAGCTGTTCTCCTGTCTTGCATTTGCATTCTCAATCAGACTTTCAGCATACAAAGAGGCTTAGAAGTCTTTATAACATTACAGGAAAATGTTCATCTGTGGCAGGAAGCTGAGGATTTACAATGAGGACAAATGACAGTTCCTGTTTCTTGGATTTGGTTCATTTGCACCTCCTTGTATGATGGAAAGTTGGTGGCTACATTTTGAGTTTCATTTCCTCTGCATTAAATAGGGATGGTAAAATGGACAGCTTTTTCTCCTTTCTTGGTTGAAAGGTGAGATGAACTAAACAAGCTGGAAACATAAACATCCTATTTGTTATAACTTTGTAAAGCTGTCATACCTAATGTGTTGGCAAACAGTTGCCTATTTTTTCCTGAGGAGTTGGTGAAGACCAAATCAGGTCTAAAACAAGAGTCAGTATTGGTCTTGTATTCATCAGATGGACACAAATCCAAATGAATGCTAATGCTGCTTTGTGTCTGCTAGATGTTTAAATAGGCTGTTTGCTTAGATGTTAGCCATAACAAATGTATAAGATATGTTGATGTTGCTTATAGCTTGTTCTCCTACTCCAATTGGTTAAAAATCATTTAATGCTGATTTAATAGTTGTAGTAGGGCCTATAGCCACACTTTACTGCTACATGTAGCCCTGTTAAAGTTGTGACATGATAATATAGATTAGAAATACATTCCTCTACTTGCTGTACTGGTAGAGGAAGCTCATAAAAATGTTTTCACAGCTCTTTCTTGAAGTGTTGGACTATTCCTTTAAAAGATTCTCATACTCCTGCCTCATTGATTTCAGCCTGAGGAAATGGGTCATCTTATTAATTAACACTTAACACTATTCATCGGTTCACATTTTCCCCTCACTCTGTCCAAACTGGTGTGTTCTGGTGGAAGAGCTGATCACT